GGGGGGGGGGGGGGGCCGGAGGGGCGGGAGGAAGGGAGAATTCACCGGGCTTCGAGAGAAGCGCGAATTGCGATTGACTCCGTGGAAGCCCCGAGATCTTCTCTCCTCGGGCGCGTTTACATCCCCTCTCCCTCCTTCCGTCGCTCTGCTCTTTCTCCTCCTCTCCTTCATTCTCCGGGATAAATCGTCGTGTCGCGTCCTGCCGGTCCTTAAGCTACCCGACGGGCTCGCAACGGTATATCCCCGGCGTAGCCGCGTGATTAATGGCCCCGGCGAGAGCGCGCAGCGCCGTGAGTGAAACGTAGGTGCGCAGAAATAAGTAAAAGTTACACGCGGCAAAGTAGTCGGCCTTGTTCACCGTTTGCCAACCAGCCGCGAGGCTGGTAGAGGCCGTTTTACAGATGAGACGCGGCGACGGGAGGGGACGGATGTCCCGGTGCGAGAGTACGGTGACGAGCGCATAAACGAACAGCATTGTCTTGGAACCGGTTCCCCCTCCTCCCTTTCCTCTGCTCCAAGATAAGGCTCGTTTTTCAGAATACGGTAAAAACGACGCTGCCGAATCGACCGGCACGGGAGAAACGGCGGAGAAGTCGAACGGGCGCAGAAGTCGATTGACTAACGAACGAACGAACGAGTTGTAAGTGGCTCTTCGCATCTCCCCATAGAGAAAAATCCCCAACTAAGAGTTCACGGCCTCGTCTCCTTCTGGCCGGAAGCCTTCGTAAAAATTATCCGCGTCTCAGAGACGCGCGTTAATATATTTTAAGATTAATCCGGAGAAGTTGTAGAAGAAATGTGCACTTGTTAAAATATATATTTAAAGTTGTTATTATTGATGCTAGAGTAATAGTTATTAGAAAAGCGATTCTCCGGATAACAATTCTTTCATTCCTATGCGCGTTATTGTAGTGGCAAATATCGAACATTTTTTCGCAACCAACGGCGGCACGCTATTACCCGTACGAATTGCACGAATTACGTTGTATTTTCGTTACAGTTCGGACCGTTTTTTCTTTTCTTATCGTTCCCATCGGCGAGGCGTTGCGTCCCGCGAGGCGAACGATAAGATCGTCCAGGTGAAAACCGGCCGGGGCGCGCGTTATTTATGAGCTGCTCTAGGAAGAATGGGCGAGAGAATCGGCGGAAACAATTGGGGTGAAAGTAAAAAGTAGTCAAAAAAAAAAGCGGAGAACGCACGGCGTTATTAAGTGCGTGCGCGCGGAATACATCGTGGAATCGTGTGGTTGAAGTTTGCTACGATCTTCGGGAGAAAATGGAAAAAAGTTCTTTTCGGGTTTAACCTCAGTGAAAAAACAAAAATACTCGCGCACGCGCGATCTTTTTCGTCTTGCTTGTTTATTTATGTTAATACTGACACATTTTGCACGATTTTATTTCGTACATATTTTTCTTTTCATGCCGAAGTCAATCTTGGGAAAAAAACTTTTTACCTTTCGCTCGAAGATCGCCCCAAACTTCAATCACGTGCGGGTATTATTTTCCGCGTTTCAACGCGGACGCCGCTGCTATTTCCATAGTTCGCAACGACCCGCAAAACTGCGATCGAACCTCGAGTTATTCCGATCGGGAACTTTTTCAAATTGTTTTCACGTGATAAAATCTCCCGCAACACATGTACACACGTGCATACGATAGGAAAATGAGACAGAGAGGACGGAAGAAAGCGTTATTTACTTAATACTATGCCGATTTCGAATGTAGATTCCGTCAAGTGCTTGGAGAATGACCTAGGAGAATTCAAAAACTACAAAAGAATATTTTTGATGAATTGTAAGCAGTTTGCAAAACACCGTGTGTTTAGTATTTGTAACTATAATCGCGCATAAACGGAAGAATCATAGTCAAGGGAACCATTTTTCTAGTAAACGTTATTAGTGTGTCAGCGATAACGATCTTATATACCTGCAGCCGTTTACCATTTTATCGCTCAAAACCAGAAGAAGTATGGACGGGAATGACGGCGATTCTGTTGACATT